AAAGCTCCTGCTTTAGAAACCAAACGTTTGTATAATTGGACAAAAGTTTGAAAACCTACTGAAAAGGTTACTGTTATACAGACAACCTACCTGTGGGACAACTAGCCTCGGTCTTCCCTACATTTCATTTGTTAAAATATGTAGCTGATTCCTTATTGGCTCACAAACACAGCGCTCCGCTCAGCAGCACGTGCCAAGGCCGCGTAACCTCCCGAAAACATGATGTGCGCGCGGAGAATCTTGTCAGATGAGAAGGTAAAAAACAACTCAATTTATAAATGCTACAAACAAAATGTTTGCATATAATACACTCGGTATTCATGGCTTCGGTATACATAAAAAAAAACGCCGTAGAAAACGACTTTTCTACACAAATACACCTGAAGTCGAAAATCTGTCAGGTCGACTGTTGGTGTCATTCAGAGAATACTGATTAAACGATTCATAAACGATGAAATGCGAATAACTCTGTTCTGATAGAGTTTTTGCATTAACACATAAAGAACTGCAGTCGTCAGGTGTTACTCGCAACAATCTAGTGCTTCTTTATTTATGTGACGTGATCTTTCAGCTCAGAAATGGATAAAATAATCAGTGTACGATAAGATATGGTACTATTGCAGGTGCTTCAGTCCATAAATTAACATTAACTATGTGTTGTATATTAACGCTGTTTTATTAGTGTGTTGGCCTCCATCATCCCAAGCTGTGGCAGACGTGCACACTGCCTTTACATTTAGCACGACTGCATGGTTAGATTGGATTCAAATGCGTTGGAGTCGAATGGAGAGGTAAGGATCATGTTATTTAACTGGTGTTTCTTAAATATTCTGTCATGTGCATAGCTATATTTATGTAGTTTTTAGTATCAAATGATGTGCTGCGGTCTTATGTATATGATCAATATACAAAAAAAGTCCACAAGAAATATAAAAATGAATTTAAAGGGGGCATGACCCTAACAAGCCACATACTGTACAATATCATCCCGTTTTCTTTTGTTGAAATCTAAGAAGGTCAATTATTTGTGTGCACTTACTATCAGTTTGCTTTGTATTTGGAGTGCTTAAAGGGGTCATATGATGTTGCTAAAAAGAACATTATTTTGTGTATTTGGTGTAATGAAATGTGTTTGTGGTTTAAGGTTCAAAAAACTTATTTTCCACACACTGTACCTTATTGTTTCTCCTCTATGCCCCGCCTTTCTGAAACGCGTAGATTTTTACAAAGCTCATCGGTCTGAAAAGCAAGGTGTGCTCTGATTGGCCAGCTATCCAGTGCGTTGTGATTGGCAGAATACCTCAAGCGTGTGACGGAAATGTTACGCCCCTTACCATATTGTGATGACTTGTCCCGGCCAGAGCGACGAGACAAAAACATTAAAACCCATTATAAACGAGGCATTTGTTGCATCCAGTGGGGACATAATTACGGATTATAATGACTTTTTACACGTTGTATTGCATCGCGTCGCGTAAACATAAAACCATGTCTGCATTTGTGATCGGAGAAAAGACAAACTACAAGCGCTACTCTACACTGCTCAAAACTCGCGTTTGAATCGTCAGTGGCAAGTTCTTTAAATATAAAAAACATACTTAGAGTATGTACAGACTACAACAGAACACTGTAGTCTATCAGGATCAGGAAACAGTCCTCCATAAAATGCGCTGGACACATCGGAATATTTGGGTTGAACTGTTCTGGAACAGTGTTGTAAATTCAACTTAACCACTGATTTCTAATCGTGTCCTCCAAACAAAGTAGTTTCGCTTTCACAATGAAACACAGCGTCACACACGGCGGCCTAGAGTGAGCAGCGGCCGGCGGTTTGAGTGAGCGGCAGCGAGCAGGCAACTTTTATAAAGAATATCTCTTTGGATTTGAGACTTTAGTCTTTGCAACTTTACAGATCTTCTTTATGCACCAAGAGCTTGTAACACTCCAAAGAGAAAGGAAAAATTGAAATCGCATCATATGACCCCTTTAAGTTATTTAATATACAGCGTCTATAGATGTTTGTGTCAAACCATTGCTGTTTGAGTAGCCCTACAAAGACCCTATACTTATGTTACTAGAATTCAATAGTAAAACTGGCTTTATTGTAGTGTAAATATTGATAAAAAAAATTAATTAAAGAGATTAATCAAATGCAGCCTGATACAAGCTAAAGCAATATATCTGTATTTGAACAGATGGGTTTTATGAGTATGTGGAGCTAACGTAGCATTGTGATACTCACAAAACAATTAAAAATTAATGCAAATGTTAATTTAATGCAGACGTTTCTATGTGTGTGCAGTGCCCTGCCAATAAAAGATTGGATTTGCATTTGGTTTTCATTCAAACAAATGTGACCAGATTGTGCTGGACTACCAAACATCCTTTGCATGCTGGTCTTTGTAGAAAGAATGCCCAAGACTCAATTTCTTCACTGATTTCTTACTTTAGTTGTCTTCTATTCTGTTGTAGTTGTGTTTGCTGTACACATGCAGCTGTATTGAGCATTACCGTAACTTTGTTAAACATATTCCAGCACAGTATGAATCCATGCGTGATTTTATTCCCCCACTTTGTAAAAGACTTCCTTCTACAGAAGTCCTAAGAGGCCATGGATTATGATTATTTTTCTTTCTTGCTTTCTCGTGATCATTACTTAAATATCTTGTGATCTCGACATGACATAAAAGTTGTTTTCTCATGATTTTTTTTTTTTTTACAATGATTGTTTGATTTTTAACACAATGCATTGTGAGCCTACTGTTGCTATAGTAACGAACGCAACTGAAGCAAACAACAGTGATCGATTAGCCTAAATGTATTTATTCAAAATAAAAATGTTGAAAATGTGGGAAAATAATTGCTGAAGGCATGCATCTAATACAGGAATTGTTGAACAGCCATCTTAATTTATTAGC